CCATTCCTCTGTCAAGCCTGGTCTGCCTGCTATTAGCTAAGTCTGACCTATGCTTAGAGCTCTCTGTCCTGCACACAAATTTTGACACAGCAAGAATTTGTGGCAGGTGGGTCACAAAGCAGGCTGGGTGCCACTAGCTGAGCATCTCCTACTCAGCGCCTTTAACCCTTCCACCACCCGAGGAGGAGGGGTTGCCGTCCTATTTCACCAAGGAGGAAATGGGCTCAGAAAAGTGAAGACAGTTGTCCAAAGCCATACAAGCAAGCAGTAGAACCAAGAGTTGAGCCTGGGGCTGTCTGACCCTCCGAGCTTCCTCTACTGTGCCATGGCTGCTCCGTCGCCTGCAGACCTGGCTCCCCTGTCCTTGGCCCAAATGTCTACATCTTCCTAATGGGAATACACCTGTGCTTTACACCTTGAACCGAAACTAAACCTGAGGTCACCTTTTAACGAAATAACACATGACCTCATGAAATAAGAATGCCACCCAGGAGTACTGTGCTCCTTTAAGAAACCATCACGTGAGACCCAGCAGTTAGCGAGGGGCAGGGAGACTAGATGCAGGGAACAGAGCCGCCAGAATGAACATACTGAGAATCTTCACACATAGTGAAGAATGTCGCCAATGGCACTGCCTGAGCAACTGGTATAGGAATTGCTGAGTGGGACCCCAAAAACTAATAAAATATTTTTTAAAAGAGAGAGCTAGGATGCCTTTGGGTGTCAGTCTCCAACTCTCGGGAGTGCCACTTCCAGCTCCCTGAGAAAGTTCTAGCAAATAGCTTTCTTCATCTTGTCATACTTCTAATAGTCGTTTTAATGCCCTAGGAAGTAGCTGCTGGTGGCCCCTGGGTTACATGTTGGACTGCTAACCATGAGGTCAGCAGTTTGAAACCACGAGCTGCTCTGCAGGGGAAAAAGGAGGCTCTCTACTCCCACAAATGACAATATGTGTACCTATTATTACACACATACACACACACACATTCTCCCACTGTCATTTATGGGATCATGGGGCCCTGGGGGTGTAGAGGTCATGAATCGGTCTGCGATCCTCAAGGTTGGCAGTTTGAATCCATCAGCCGCTCCACAGGAGAAAGACAGGGCTTCCTTTCCTGTAAAGAGTGACAGTCTCAGACATGCACAGGGGCAGTTCCACCCGCCCGACAGCCTGGTCCTGGGTTGTTTTCCGTACAGATGCAGAAACGGAGTCATAGGCCGGCAAAGTCGCTTGCTTGGCAAGCAGAGGCCACGTCTGGGAGCTGGTGGTCTGGCTCCAGTGCCCACACCCCAACCTCTCCCATGCCGAGCAGAGGCTTAGTTCAAAGAATGCACACAAGCTGAGTATGCTCCTTAAATGAATTATTAGGATTATTAAGCCGGACATCAAGGCTCTGGCTAAGCAGGGGCGAAGGCTCCTTGGCTAATCTGCCCTGCCCTTTGTCCACATCCAGTCATCAATCAGCACTGCAGGGCCCCTAATGAGGTCGTTAGGATGGGTTATCAGGTACCAAGATGGGATTTAATCTCCAGAAAGGGTCACAGAGCACTCATTAGCCTCATTAATGGGAACAAGGAGGTGGGTGTGCCCAGGGTGGGGTGGAGAGAAAGGGGGCGCTGGGTTAGGCTGTGGCTTCTCATGGTGTGGCTGGGTGCTGGAGAGAGCTGAGGCCATGCCGGATGGGGTTGAGGGATGGCAGGTGCCTATGTCACATTTGGAGGGCAGCCCCTTCCCCAGCCAGTTCCCATGATGCCTTCCTCTGAGGCATCTCCAACCTCTTCCGCAAGTCTCCTTGGCAACGCTGTCAGCTTCCTCTTCCCACGTAAACTCAGAGTCCTGTTGAGGGTCCCTGCGCATCCCCCCACCATTGTCCGCACAGCGCTGTGTGAAGTTGGAACAGTTGTCCCCCCATCGGCTCAGGCCCTGCTCAAAGCCCCAGGGCTGCCACCTCAGGCAGGGCACACGGGCACTCTCCCCCAACATGCCGGACTTCAGGAAGCACAGAAAGGTGTGGTACCTTCCTCAAGGCCACACAGCCTTTAGGAACCTCAGCTGGGATACAAACCCCGGCACCCGGGCTCCTGAGCCTGTCGTCTCTCAGGACGTGTACATCGTCCCATGGCTCCTCGTCACGCCCTTCCTGTGTCAGCTCTGTGCTTTGCCAATGAGCACATGTAAGGTTCGGAGCAGATGTCTACCCAGGATGGTGTGGCAAAGACGGGGCCGAGGTGGGACTCAGACTTTCTCGGCTGGATTCAGAACCTGACCTCACATGCTGCCCCCAACCCCGTTCCCCCACAGATGTGGCCCCTGGACTTGGCGATACAGGAGCTAGAGGCCTGGGTGCCATTTTCCCCACCTGGCCCGATGACATTTGCAATCCAGGATTTAGTGAGTGGCACAGGCTGCCTAAGGGGTCCCTGGGTGGCACAGAAAAGCAGCTATGCTCTGCTGTTAGCAGTTGAGTTTACCTAGAGATGCCCGGGAAAAGAGCCTTGGCAGCCCATGGCTGGAGAGAGCACGGGGTTTGGGCCATGCGTGGGAGTCCAGTCCTCGAGTCAGTGTTCCTGAGGGTGACTCTGGGAGACTCAGGCTGGGGCAGGGGGCCAGGAGGAAACTGGATGCCAGGACTGCCCAGGGACACCATCTCACCGTGTCTTGCAGGGACTGGGGCAGGCAGGCAGGCTGGTGGTTGTTCACAGGGCCTGGGGCCCCAGGCAGCCCCGGAGGGCTTGTGGAGCAGGTTGTCTGTGTAGGAGAACACAGATTATCCATTAAGAGCAGCTCTTCCAGACCCTGCGCACCCTGGATCCGAGTCCCGTCACTTTGGCCACCTCCTCCCTCGGTTGTCTGTTCTTGCTTTGTGGATGCCTGCGCGCACCTTGACTGCATCTTCTCATTTCCTTACACCTTGGGCTCCCAATTTTTATCTCGCGATCACATTGGTCTACGTTCTTTTGTCTGTCTGCTTTATCTGGCGTACCTTTGATTGCAGCCTGAGGCTGACAGGCCCCCTGCTGCATCTGGGTGTTGTGTCTCGTTCATTTTACTAAGTCGGCGTCTGCCCTCTCAGCCTTCCAGCTGCCTGTTCTGCCATCTTGCTCTCTGTCCCTCCTGTTAGAGGGGATTCTCGAATGCCTGGCCTGCCTGGGTGGCTGTTGCCCAGAGCTAAGGGAGGGGAAGCGGAGGTCCAGGGGGCCTGGAGATGGAGGGAAGCCAGAGAGTAGGGGAGGCAGGAGCCAAGCCGGCCCGTGGCTAGGAGGGGAGACCAAGATGGTAAGGAGGGTGGGGAGAGGTGGCCCAAAGGTTGCCTGGGGGGAGAGCACAGTGCTGGAAGCTAGCTCACCTACCTATGGGCCCTTTCCCAGCCAGACGGAAGGCGGAGGAGGGAAGTGGGTGCTGGCACCCGCCCCAGAAATTGTGCCACTGTAGGGATTGCCCCTGATAGCCTCTGGCCTGGCACAGGACCAGCTGACTCTGCCCGCACCAGGGGCAAAGGAGGAAGTCAAGGGCTGGTCCCACCCCCCTCCCCCTTTTTTGTTGTTTCCTGGGCCCACCAGGACTTATGTATGGACTTTGACCTGGGTTTGTTCCCTGTGAGATGTGCTGGCTTGTCCATGTCTCAGGGGCAGGCGGTGTTGGGAGGATTTGGTCCTGGGTCTGGGCCTGGGCCTCTGTTTTCCCATCTGTCCCAAGGGAGGTCTCATTGTCTGCTGAGGTCCCAGTGTGTCCTGGGCATTCCTGGACTCGCCCACTCCCTTCTTCATGTTGTCCCCAGGAAGAGAGGGGTCTCCCTCCCGGCCAACACAGTGGCGGAGCTACAGGACATCATCGGCATGGACAAGCCGCTCAGCCTCCCAGGCTTCCTGGCCAAGTTTGAGATCTACATGCCTGCCATCGCGTGAGTTGTCCTGGACCCCCAGGCCCTGGGGCAGCACCAGCCCCTGAGCTGTGAGGGGACCAGAGTGTGTGGGAGAGGCTCTCTGAACCCCAGCTCTGCTTCTCTCTGCTGTGCACACTTGGGGAACTCTCTATGCCTGTGGGCTTCAGATGCCCCTTCTGTGGCTGGAAGGGTTGTGATTCCTTCTAGCCCTGCATGCAGGCCCCAAGAAGGGGCAAAGTAGGCGTGCCCGGGCTTAGAGCACAGGAGCCACTGGTCCAGGGGGTCAAAGGTACAGCCAGTCCCCGACTTTGATGGGCATCCTTTGATGGAAGTCAAAGGCCTCACTGCTAGTCTTTCCTAGTACTGGGATCTTCATCGATCGGGTCTTCATTTGTCTCTGAGGGTTAGAAGCCTGACATCTATGCTTACGGATGGATTTTAACACACACAGAACCATCCACGCCCATAGTCATCGACCCTGACGATGAGACAGGTGGGGTGGTGTTGGCATGCTATCAGCTGCAGTGATAGCTCCCCTCACGGAAGGCTCTGGATCATCTGGGCCATTCCTGGGAAGGGGGACGTTTCTCGTCAGCAAGTGGTGACTAGCGTGGCCCGTAAGGTCCTTCTCTTGCCTCTCCGTCTGGCCGCTTCCCCAATCAGCGAGGCCATCCGTGTTTTCAAGCAGCAGGGCAGCCCTGCCGTCGCGGGGGAAACGGAACCTAGACAGTGGTGCTCGGAACAGTACATCGCGCGGTGGACATCTGAGCGGGAGGGCGGCAGCCAACTACGACGCGCTGCCATGTGGTCTCCAGGGCTGGTGTCAGGTGCCACCAGTCAGCTCTGACCCACAGTGACCCCCTGCACAACAGCACACACCACTGCCCGGCCCACCATCTCTGTGTGAGCCCACTGTGGGGGCCACTCTTGCCAGCCCATCACCTCGAGAGCCTTCCTCTTTGGGGCCCCATCCCCTTTCTTGGCCACGCGCAGGAGAAGCCCCTCCTGCTGGCTTCTAAGGAGCTCTCTAGCTGTACGTGTACTTCTCCCGCGACACAGCTCGTCACTCTGCTGGCGGTCGGAGGTATGTCTAATAGTCATCCCGACCCCAGAAGTCAGACGCAGCGGCTCCTCCCCAGTCTCCTTTATGCACGCCCGCCTTTGGCATGCCCGAGACAGTTAGACATGCCACGGCTTGGGGCACAGTCCCAGCTTCGCTCTTGAGCACCTTTTCTCCGTGAAGTGTCTGTGGGTTTCTTGACTGCAGCTGCTCCGGGCCCGGAGCATGGGTCCAGGTGAAACGAAGTCCTTGACAAGGCTCTTGCCCGGCGGATGGGCAGAGCTTGGGCTGGAGGGTGAGAGGGTGCTGGCGGAGGTGGGCTGCGAGCAGCTTCATTGTTCCTGGGGCTCCTTCCCTTTCCAGGGGCTCCCGGGAGGCCGTCAAAAGGATTGCCTATGAGTTTGTTGAGACGAAGGCCAAGGAGGGCGTGGTGTACGTGGAGGTGCGCTACAGCCCGCACCTGCTGGCCAACTCCAAAGTGAAGCCCATCCCCTGGAACCAGGCCGAGTGAGTGACCGCCTTGGGAGGGGCCGGGCTGGATGCGTGGCAGTGGCCCTGCCTTGACACCCAAGGGCCACACGGGTGGGTATTTCTGCCCATGATCTCAGAAGGGTGGGGCTCAAACTTGTCCAGAGATGTGGTTCCCCTCCCTCCTGCTGGGCTTATGCTTCAGCCTCCGTTGGAAGCTGTCCGGTGTCTCGTGTATCCCGTCTCATGGGAGCTCTTGCTGTGCACGCAGGCCTGCAGGCTAGCACATTTCGTGGACCTGCTTCCCCAGTGCCTTTCAGGGCCCTTGCTCCAACCTGTCCCTGCAATGGGTCTGACCCACTCCTGTCCCTGCCCAGAGGTCTCCAGGTGGCGTCAGTCCACTGCCTTATTCCGTTCTAGCTGTGGCCCCCAGGATGAGACCAGGCCGGAACTCAGCAGCACTCTCTACCTAGGGGTGGGGTCACCGACTGGGATGTCCCTGCCCGGGTCTGGAGGTGCCCAGCCAGCTGGAAGGAGGGTGTGCTATGGCTGGAACCACCTCTCTCCCCTTGCCCCTTCCCCCAGGCTCCTTTCCCCCATTTGCCAGGTCTGTCTGCCTTTAGGCTGTCCCTTTACCTCAAGCCTGTCCCCCCACCCTCTCCCCGTGCAGAGGGGACCTCACCCCGGATGAGGTCGTGTCCCTAGTGAACCAGGGTCTGCAGGAGGGGGAACGAGACTTCAAGGTCAAGGTCCGGTCCATCCTGTGCTGCATGCGCCATATGCCCGGTGAGTGCGTGCTCAGCCAGCCCACACCCCGACCCTTGATCCCCAGTCTTCCCTGTGCCCCACCTGAGCTCACCCCGTGTCCCCGTGAGCCCACCCATCACTGGAGTCTTGGTGCTTCTAGAAACCACTGGAGACCTCCTAGGACTGCCCCCAACTCCCTGGGGGCTATGATCTTTCTCACCAGGAAGATGGAAGCTTGAGTCTCAGGACTGCAGGAGACTCAGAAACAAAAGCACCTAGCACCGTTTAAAGTTCGAGCCATGTTCTGATTGGGCCTGGTCCTCCCTGGAGGCTGAGTCCACCCTGAGCCTGGGGCGAGGTCTGACTCTGGGCACGGACACGGGCCAGAGCTCAGGGGCTTGAACTGCCAGGGTGAGGCCACCCACTCGGAACCTCAGGCATGTGCCCTCACCTCTCCCACCTGTAGACAGTGTCATGGAGACAGCCAGTCTGCCACCTCCCTCTGCTGGAAGGACAAAAGATAAACCGAGCAAAAGCCTGGACCGGTCTCCAGGGCCTATTGGGGGCACAGTGGTCAGGGCGCAACTCCTTGTAGCAGCCTGTGTGGCAGGACCACTGTTGCCGGCCCCCATTTGACAGATGAGGAAGAAGAGGCAGGGAGCAGTACCGCCTCTCTCCCTTCAGTCAGAAAACGCCAACCGTGTGGTCTGAACCCAGGGCCATCTGGCTCTAAACCTGTGTACTTTTCTGGGCTTTTAACCAACATCTTGTGCTCACTTTATCGGTCAAGATGTTATCAGCACATTTAGTGATCCTCCAAGGAGACCACCCTTTAAATGTCAAACTGTGCCCTTCATCCTCTCAAGCTCGGTGGCCCTCCATGGCTTCCTCTGCTGTTTGCGGGAGAGCCCACCTGCAGGGCTATGGGGTGGGGCCCTGCCCCCTGCACGGCAGGTGTGTCCCACTGAAGGGAAAGGACATGGAGGGCCAGGTGCCCTGAGCGCAGGAGTGTCCCTCTGAGGGGAGCAACTAGCTGAAGGCCGGTGGCTCTGGCCTGGGATCCAAGCTTGGCGCATACTGCTGCCAGGCTCTGTCTTGCCTGGGCCTTGGGTCCTGGGGTGGGAGTGCGCAGGGTGGGGGTGAAGAGCAGGGCCAGGGGCAATCTTTAATAGCCTGGTGGTGACAAGGCCCCGGGGATGTCTGGCCCACAGAGTGGTCCCTGGAGGTAGTGGAGCTGTGTAAGAAGTACCGGCAGCAGACTGTGGTCGGCATCGACCTGGCTGGCGACGAGACCATCTCCGGCAGCAGCCTCTTCGAAGGCCACGTGAAGGCCTATGAGGTGGGCACTGTGGGGGGGAGGCGTGGCCACGGAAGAACTCTCCCTGACGTGCAGTAGGGAGGACGAGGGCTGCTGGGTTCCCAAGTGCCCCGTGGCTGGTCTGCTGTTGGACAGACTGCCAGGCACAGCAACCCAGGCAACAGAGCAGAACTCTCCACGGAGGGTTCCACCCGGAGCAGGCCCCACTAGGTCTTTCTCCTGGAGGGTTGCCGGTGGGCTTGAACTGCCAACCTCGGGTTAGCAGCTCAGGGCTTAGGCGTTGTGCCCCAGGAATTAAATGGAGAGCCTGGTGGCAAAAGCCCCCACAGGCGGGAGCCTGGTTCTAGCCTGTGGTTTGCTGCTGCGTGATTTCGAGAAAGGCCCTGTGTGCGCACGCCTCATAGGCACGGGGCTGGAGTGGCCGTCCCCTGGTCCCTTCCTGCCCATCATTCAGGGACAGTGGGAGGGAGGAAGTATGGTGGCAGAGAATGGGTGTTCGGGCGCCCACCGCCCGAGCTCAGAGCTGGCACCATACTTTGAAGCCATGTGACCTTGGTCATGCTATTGAAGGAAACCCTGGTAGTGTAGTGGTTACTCATTGAGCTGCAATCCGCAAAGCTGGCAGTTTGAAACCATCAGCTGCTCCTTGGGAGAAAGACAGGGCTTTCTACTCCTATAAACAGTTAACAGTCTCGAAGTCCACGGGGGTGGGAGGAGCGGGGAGCACTATGAGTTGGCATCAACTCGATGACAGTTTTTTGAAGTGGTACTGCTTAATGTACCTGAGCCCGGGTAAAGGGGCTTGGACACAAGAGTGGTTTCACGTTGGGCTGCTAACTGCAAGGTCAGCAGTTTGAAACCACCGGCTGCTCTGTGGGAGAAAGATGAGGCTTTCTGTTCACGTTCGGATTGACAGTCTCAGAAACCCACAGGGGCAATTCTAGTCTGCAGTGTGGTCCCTAGGGAGTCGGGATGGGCTCAGCGGCAGTGAGTTTAGTCTCGTGTAAACCTCAGTGACACTCCCTAATGAGATGCACTACACCGATGAAAACAGGGCCACAGTAAAACCCAAATATATCTATCTATCTCAGACTCCCTGCCAGCAAGTCGATGCTGACTCAACAGCGCCTCTAGGAGACAGGGTGGAACTGCCCCTGTGAGTTTCCAAGACTATAATTCTTGATAAGAGCAGGACACCGGCCTTCCACGATCCCTCTGCTCCCATGGGGCAGCTGGTGTTTCACACCCTGACCTTGCAGTTGCAGCCCAAGGGTAACCACTAACGAATAGACATTAGCTCTGACATGCAGCCCAGCTGTGGGGTGGCCCACGTCACGGCCCTCGCGGGGCGGCCGTGACCTGGCTCTTAACCCTTTCAGGAGGCCGTGAGGAGTGGCATTCACCGCACCGTGCACGCCGGGGAGGTCGGCTCGGCGAATATGGTGAAGGAGGTGAGGAGACAGATGGCTGGCCGTGAGACCTCGCCCTCCCTGCTCCCCGCTGCCCCACACTGGGCCTCCACTCCCTCCTCTTCCCTGCAGGCGGTGGACACGCTCAGGACGGAGCGGGTGGGCCACGGCTACCACACCTTGGAGGATGAGGCCCTTTATAGCAGGCTGCGGCGGGAAAACATGCATTTCGAGGTGAGGGGCGGGGTAGGGAGGAGCGGACGGGCTGGGGACGTTACAGCCATGGAGTGGCTGAGAGAAACCAGGACTGGCAAGGACACACAACGAGGAGGCTGGTGACCATGGCAAGAATGGGACCAGAGGGGCAGGGTGCCAGGGGCCTGGGGGTCAGTGTGGCCTGGGGTTGAGCCTACCTACACACCTCCTCTTCCAGGTCTGCCCCTGGTCCAGTTACCTCACAGGAGCCTGGAAGTTGGGGACGGACCACGCAGTCATCCGGTGAGGCCCAGCCACCTGCATCCCTTTCCTTGGGTCCCAAGAAAAGCCAGGTGTGGAAAGGAAATACGGGATGGTCACCAGCTGAGGCCAGGTGTCGCTGACCTCATCTTACAGCTGGGGGCTCCACAGCTGAGCTGGGCTTTCCCCTGAGTCCTGATTAAAAGGAGCGAGGAGAGCACGCAGGGGCCCTCAGGAGGTCTGGGAATGTGCGGTGGGAAGTCCCTACCGAATGCCCGAGCAGATGTTGAAGGAGTTGCGTGGACTGGAGAAAGGTCTGAGTAGTCGTCTGGACAGAGATACGGTGTTTCGAGAAGCAAGGGTCCCAAGAGGTGTGCAGAGCCAGAGGGCCTCGGATGGAGTCCCAGGGGACCCTTAAAGGCACTTGTAGAAGGAAAACCAAGAGTGGTTTCTGAGATGTCAAGGGGACGTGGGGTGGGGGGGTGTCTCAAGAACAGTCAGCAGTATCAGATGCTGCTGCAGTTGAGATCGGGATTAAACAAGATGGTTGGTAAGAGGTCTTGCCGCGTCATTTCCGGGCTGTTTGAAGAGGCTGAGCCCAGGGGCTTGAGGCGTGTCTTGGACAGAGCACACTGCAGATCACTCTTCTGGGAATGTTGGCGGTGACGTGGACGGCTAAGCTGGGCGGTAGCTCAGGGGCCACTGGCTTAACACCAGACCCCTCCCATGGCTCCCCACTGCTCTTGGGGCAGGCACTGAATTGGCAGGAGCCGTGGTCCTGGCCTGGGAAGCCTTGGGCTTGAGTTGCTAGTTCTGTAGCCTTGAACGAGTCACCAGGGTTCTCAGAATGCATCTTCCTCTGTCTAATGAGGGTGAGGGGCGTGTATGGGCAAGTGCATCTCCTCCTTCCACCTCGTTGTCCAGGTTCAAAAATGACCAGGCTAACTACTCGCTCAACACGGATGACCCTCTCATCTTCAAGTCCACCCTGAACACCGATTACCAGATGACCAAGCAGGACATGGGCTTCACCGAAGAGGAGTTTAAGAGGCTGGTGAGTGCCGTGTCAGCCTGCACTCTGGGCCCCAGAAACTCTCCTCCCATCCTGAGGTGCTGCCCAGGAAACAGGCTCTCTGGAGACCAGGAACCAGTTTGCCTGACAGTCCAAGGGAAGCCATCGCTGGCTTGCTGGCTTCCCAATGGACCGCTCCAGGCTGCCCTCCTGGTCCACGGCCAGGCGTCTGCTCTTCCGCTTGGATCGAGTGCCCTTGAGCATTTAGGGGCTGTTCCCGCCCTGTGTCTCCCCAGCCAGCAATGTCCAGCTGTAAAACTGTTCGCCTTCATTCCGGGCTAAAACCCTGATCTTGGGGGGGTTGAAAAACCCGAGTCTGTCCTTGCAAGAACGTCTCAGATCTCGCAGTCCTACCTGGCCTCTTGGAAAGCTTTTCCACCTTTTCCCTCCCACCTGCCACACGGGGAGTGCCGGTCGCCGAGAACACAGGGCCCTTGGGATTAGTCTCTCTCCCTCTGAGCGTGATTCCTCCAGTGCACTGAAGAGGGGCTCTTACTAGCCTGGCAGGGGCCCCTTTCCTGTTGCTAATGCCTTGCTGGCCCTTCTAGAACCTCAACTCGGCGCGGTCCAGTTTCCTCCCCGAGAACGAGAAGAAGGAGCTGGTGGATCAGCTCCAGAAGGCCTATGGACTGGCCCCCTAGCCTCTGAAGGTAGGTTCCTGCCTGGGCTCAGTCTGCTTGCCGGTGGAGCTCCTAGCAAGGTGCTCTTCCTCGATGGTGTTCACTGCTGGCTCCAGCGCCTGGCGGGGGTCCCTCAAACCAACAGAAACGCCACACTTGCTGCCAGGTCGACTCACAGCCACCCTGTAGGACGGGAGGAACTGCCCCTGGGGGTTTCTGAGACGGTGACTCTTCCCAGGAATAAAAAGCCCCATCTTTTTCCTCGGAGCAGCTGATGGATTCAGGCTGTGCACCGTGTGGTTACCAACCCACGCCATCACCAGGGCTCCTTGTGGCAGGCCCCAGCTGGCTTGTAATCTGTCCAGAGCCAGCCTGAGGGGCTGGTCTAAGGGGCAGACACCATGGCAGCCTAAACTCAGGCAGGGGGCTGAGTCCAGCTCCTGCCTCTAGTCTTCCTTCCTGTGTGACCTGGGCAAACCATTCCCTTGCGGCCAGCCTCAGTCTCCCCATTTGTACCAGGGAGCTCCCCTCTGGCTCTGACGTCTGAATGGCCTGCTCCTTCTGTCTGCCCGTCTTCATAACCCTGTCGGGTCGCTGACTTTCCACCTGGGTTCCTGCCAGGAAAGGCCGGACTGCGGTGCTCAGCGGGAGCACGGGCCTCAGCGTGGACACACCACTCCTCCCACTAGGATCCTGGCCAGGACCGAGGGAGGCCCTGGCCGACCGGCTCAGCTGAATCAGGAACAACCCCCCCTCCTCTGGGGACCTCAGAATCTGGTGCTTAATAAAGATGCAGATACAATGATCGTGGCTGATGCTGTGCAGTGTGTAGTGGGCTGAGGGGAGGGGCTGAAGGCTCCACTCAGGCCTCCTGCTTAGCTGCAGGGCCCCAAGAGGTCAGGAATATGAAGCCAGACCTTCAAGGGTTGGGAGCTCGGATCCCACCCCCACCCCCCCAGCCTGTCTGCCCACTGGCAAAATCGAGCAGCCATACTCCCTGGCTTCTTCCCCCACCCACGTGGGCTGCAGAGGGACCCGCTTCCTGGGCTGGGCTTCAGGAGAGGCTGAAGGGGAGGAGGACACACCAGTCATTGGGCCCAGGGCAGTGCTGGCCTCTGGGTGGCACAGCATCTCTGTGTTGTGAGCTTCGGAAGAACGAGGTCCGGCCCGCTTCTGCCGTTCCAGGAGAAACCGTCATGAGCCAGTCTCTGCAGCCAAGAGCTTTATTCCCAGACGCCAGGTGCCCCTCTCGCAGCACAAAGGGCAGAGGGTGTGCAGATCATTTCAAGCACGAAACCCCTTCCCTAGAAGAGGACCTGCCGAGCTCCTCCGCCGGCGCTTGGGGTTGCTTGGTTGTTCGGGGGGTTGGTTTCCATTGCTTTCCAACCCCCCCCCCACTTGATTGGTTGTCCGCTCCCTCCAGGTCGGCTGGAAAAAAAGGTTTGAAGTATTTAAAAAGTTTAAAATGTGTTCTTATAAAAGGAATAAGAAGGTCTTGACCCCAACGGTCGGGGCTGAGAGAAGGGGTTGGTGTTGGGACGTGGTCCCTGCCCAGACCTCCCGGGGGGCGGTGGGGAGAGGCTCCTTCCTGGGTGGGCTGCTCACAGCGGTGGGCAGGGCCCCGCCCGAGTCCCCACTGAATAAGTGCCACCCTGCAGTGACCGTGTCAGGGGGGTGGGCCTGGGCTGTGCCCAGGTGGGCTTCTCAGTCTGGTGTGGGGACCAGGGGCGTCAGACGAGGCTCGGGGCTCCTCTTCCTGCAGGGGCCGCAGGTCAGGCTCGGACTCAGGATGAGGTGGTCCCATCGCTGCTCTCAGGCTGGGTGCTCGCAGCCTTGTCTGGGGCGCTTGCCTCCGCCTGCCCTTCTGGAGGGAAGAGAGTGGGGGTGTCGGCCAGGGCAGGGCAGAGCCATGAGACCTGTTCAGGAAGTGCAGGGGAGGGCTGGAGCCCCACCAGATGGGCTCTCATAGGCACAGTCAGCCTGGCCTATTGGGGAAGGGGGCGGGGGCTGGCCCTGGGGAGATGGCTGAGGGGCAGAGGGACAGGTCCCAACGCCTATCAGGGAAGGGAGTTCTGGAGCAGACAAGGCCAGCTCAGGCCCAGCAGCTGGGTTGGTGCTGGGAGGGGCCCAGGGGCTGCTTCAGTGTGCTAGGGGAGGGCCAGGGGTGCATTCTGGGGCGAGGGAGCAGAGGAGTCTGAAACAGCCCACTGTTGACAGCCTCCATCCTTTCCCCCACCCCGCACAGAGACCTTGGTGGGAAGCAGGGGTGGGTGGCGGGTAGTGCCAGGCTCGGAAGGGCGGAGTGGCTTTACCCCATGGGTCCCCCTCCCGCAGGCTCTCTCAAGCCCCGCCCATGGGAGGGGGGCAGGCAGGGCCCGCTGGTCTCGGCATCAGGACGGGCGGTGAGGGGACTACTAAACCCGTTCCCGGGCCCTCCAGTCTTGGGCCCTTGCTCGGCCTCTGCCCACAGGGTAGCAGCCCGTGGGCAGAGCTCTGTGGATGGTATGATGTCCCCAGCTGGGCTACAAGCTCACTTGGGGCCGGGTTCAAAGCCAGCACCCACCCAGCCACCCTACTGTCATGTTGCACCTGCAACCAGCCCTTTGGGGAGTGGGAGAGCCAGCACCCTGGACGGAGCTCCTGCTGGTGAGGGGGCGAAAGCTAGGTGAGGAGATTGATTTGCCTGAGACCAGGTAGAGAAGCCCTGACTGCGACCACAGCCAGCAGCCCTGCCACTGAGTTTCCCTTGCAGCCAAGTGCCCTCCCTAGGGTTTCCAGGGTTTGCACCTACATTGATCGCCTCCCTGGGTTCTTGAGAGTCCACTGAGTGGCAGGAGGGCGTCTGGAGCAGCCTTTGCACCTGGACACCCCCTCCCTCCCAGGCTCCACGCCTCCCCGCCCTCCCCCCCAGCTCCTGTCCTGGTGTGGCCCCTGCAGCTGAGGCGTGGTCCCAAAGGGTCCTTCATGCCCTCCAGGAGCCTGACAAACCATACTGTGCACTGAGAACATTTCCCTACTTGGGATGCCCTATTTGGCCCGGATTCTCCTGGCCCTGCAAGGGACGCTGTCTCTTTAAACCCCTAGAAGCCCCGGCCTGCTGCTCACTTTCAGTTTCACCTCTCCCAGCAGCTGCCTGTGTAGGAGGGGAGCAGACAGGTGGCCACCAACCTGTGAAGGGTGTGTTTAGGGTGCACCTCCAGCACACAGGGTCATGCACCCCTTCTGAGCCAGCTGGGGCTAGGGATGTAGGGCCCGGATCCCGCTCTTCTCCAAACAGCACCCTGGGGACTCCCTGGGAGTATCTGTGGCCCTTTGGCACTTAGCATTCACTGGGGCACAGGAGGCCCATGCTCCCTGGCAGGCAGAGGCTCCTCTCTCCCTCCTGGCTGTGCGCCCGGCCGCCTCCAAGGCTTGGATCCCGGAACTCTGTATCCCCAGTCCCGCAGTGAACCCCCTAATTAAGGGAACTGCTAATTGAGGGGCCTCCAGCCTGCCTCCTCCATCGCATTCCGCCACTAGTGTCCCACTTCCTTGTTGTGAACCCTGGTCTTTCCTTGGGTCCCCATGGTCAGTGTCGAAGCCCTTGGCAGGCCGCATGATCCCCATAAGCCCGGGCCCTCGGTTTCTGGGGGAATGGACTTGAAGGGTTTGGGGGCACAGCGGAGCGGCTATGACCACGGAGGTCTCCAGGCGCTGATAACAGGAAGACAGAAGACAAGGGGAGGGGGAGGGCGCATGGCGGCACGCCTGCTGGCAGCACCCCACGGGGCAGCTGGGCAGTGAATAGCCACTCACTGACTGACTGGGCCCCTCTATCACATGCCAAACACCACCAGGCACCGCGGGCACAGACACAGACCAGTGCTGGAGCAGCCCACATAGGGGGCACCGGGCCGCCGAGGCAGCTGGAGAAGAGGTGCCCCGCCCCTGCATCAGGGAAGGTTTCTGGGGAACAGGTGTGGGCAAGCTGAGAGTGAGGAGCAGGGAAAGGAGGGAGGGGAGCCGGTGCTGAGCAGGGAGCAGTGTGCTGGGCCCTTTGCTCACAGGGCACCAGGGGAGAGGGGCGGGGAGGCTGAAGAGGGCTGATAGATGCCTCAAACTCCACCGATGACCACTGGGGGTGGGGGTGGGGGCAGGCGGGGGGTGGGGGCTCCTCCAAAGGGCTCTCCCTCAAGGAAGCCAGGTTCTCACACTCCCAGCGAGTACTGGGCTCAAACCCTGTGAGGTTCTCTCTGCTCACAGCAAGCTCACAGGTTCTCAGACACACAGGGAGAAGTCAGGGTTGTAGCTTTTCTAGGACAACCCCACCACCGTCGCGGGGTGGGGGGTAGGGCTGGACAGGCACAGAGCTGGCAGCTGCAATTTACTGTGGGAAGGGATGTGGCAGAGACACGGCCTCATCGGTGCAGGGGGACTGGGCAGGGAGGCCTTCTGTGCACAGAAGATTCCCAAGGGAGGGCCCAGGGCTGACCAACGTGCCCGGATCTGGAGGAGAACGGACAGGAGGGAGGGAGGGAAGGGCTGGGAAGGGTGTGGGTGGGGAGGGAGGTGTTTGAAGCAGATGCTGTGCGCCTTCTGTTTGTTCATTCCTGCAAGGTGCTCAACAGAACGAGGCCAGGCGCCTGCGGCAGGAAAAGCCCCTCTGGAGGCCGGCCATCGGTGCTCAGGTGTGCTTGAGAGCCGAGAGGGGGTCTGAGGGCCAGGTAGCCCAGCCAAGCAGCAGGCTGCTGGAGGGTGTCCGGGTAAGGGTGGCCTCCCTCTGCTGTGAACTGGGACAGGACGGTGTAAACCAGTGTTCCCCAAAGCGGGTGATATTGCTGGGGGCGGGCACAGGAACAATCCAGGCTAGGGGGTGAAATCGTGGAACTGCAGGGAGTGCTGGGTAATTGTTTTGGTCTGACAAGGGGATACAGGAAAGTCAATTTGGGACCCTGTGGCTTCGAGCATGAATGCACAGAGCAGCTGGTCAGCCAACACATCTGAGCGGGTGAATAGACACCCAGATGAGCAGCACCGCCGCCTGCCGGTGGCCCCCGTCTAGAGGCTGCTCTGCCAAACACGAGCTCCACATCGCAGGCTCCCAAGCTTTGTTAGCCTACCGCCTCCCTTTCAAGAAAAAAAAGTACTCAGAACCACCCAGCAGGCCATTACAAATGGGTGTACTATACACAGCCCAAGACCCAGGATGAAGTCTCATTCTCTGTTTCTGCCGCCCCCCACAGTCCAGCACCCCAGGCCCAGGGGGCGGCATCGCCCACTGTGGGAAGCCCATTAATGACCCTGCTGGCAGTGGTATGGGTGGAGTGGGAGGGCTGCTGTGGGTGCAGGGACAGTAGGAGGGGGCCAGGCTGTCGGCCAGGGGGAATCTGAGGGGCCTGTAGGTGCAGTGGAGGCCCTGGAATGGATCTTGGCAGTAGAACTGACAGGGCCCGCGGGTGGGCTGAGAGGGTGAAGGAAGGGTAACAGGAGCCCCAGGACACCCAGTCGGAAGGTGCCCCTTCTGCCAGCTCGTATCTGGCTGGACTCTGCCGGGGGCCTCTGGGGCTAATGGGACTTGGTGGCCAGCTGTGGAGGCCAGCAGGCGCCTCTCCACAGACTCGGGCCAAAGACCCACTGGCTCTGACCTGCTCCCTCGAGGGCCAGCTCGCCCATGTCTCCGGCCAGCTTCCGCACGCTCACAGCCTCGGAGTCTCCCTGGATGTCGGGCACGGCGTTCCGGCGGCCTGTCCGGTCACACGAGATGAAGTCCGAGTAGGAGGACTCGACCTCCATCACGCCTGTCGCATCGCTCTCCGTCTGCGGGGAGGAGAGGGGGGCGGCGGAGGTGAGGCCAGACGCAGGTACGCAGGGGACTCGGCCCAGCTCCCCCGGGCCTCTGACAAAATAACAGTGGCTGCCTTTTCCTCTAAAGACCAGCGAGAAAGCAAAAACTGTACCAAGAACCAAGATAGTCGCCCCTGATGCTACCTCTCCAGCCACCGCTGTGCATCTTTCTCTGAGTTTCCACAGAGACTCACTCCTTCGTTGCCATCAGGCGCCAGGCTTTGGCCAGGTGCTCACTGGGCAAGTCACTGGGGCCCCATCTTTGTGGAAACAGTGGCCACAGTCTTCCGGGAGCAGACAAGGCCTGGCCCAGGCTGAGGGGAAGAACCTTGGGCAGGGGCAGCACAGGGGAAGGCGGAGTGAGGAGGGCATCGGGAGAATGGATGAGCCTGGGCTGTGGTGAGAGTGAGGACTCTGTTGTGGCGGGCAGGGGACAGGTCACACCTGTAACGTGCCCCTGAGGGATCTGGGGTGGAGCAGGGCCTGCAGGGGGGCAAGTTAGGAGGCTCCGCAGAAGTACAGGCAGTAAAGGTGGCCATCACAGGATTGTAGACGTCCTGTGAGGATGGGTCAAACAGGACTGATAGGAAGCGTGGTGGCTGACCTGGAAACGCAGGTGGAGAGATGTGTGGTTTACTGAGACGGACGGTGGGCGAGGACTACTCTGAGGAGAGAAGGTGGAGTAGAGATTATAAAAACAAACCGACCAACCGAGGGGCTGCCATCCAGGTCAACCTATATAGGGTTTCTGAGGTTGCCAATCTTTACGGGAGCAGACAGCGCCCACTCTCCCCCATGGAGTGGCTGCTGGGCTTGAACTGCCGACCTTGTCCTTCACAGTGCAATCCAGTAGAGCCACCAAGGCTTGTGGGATGGGGAATATTCGTGGTTTGGGATTTTGTGGGGGTAACTCAGAGATGCAGCAAGCCCTCCCAGAGGTGAGGTGGAGAAAGTCCACGGAGACTGGGGACTGAATCTCAGGGGAGGGGCAGGAAAGACAGGCGTGAGAAGTTACTGCCGCAGCCTGGAGGGTTGATAACAGTCCAAGAGGAGAGAAGAACCCACGCACAGAAAGAGCCATCGATGTTTCAAAAGCTCCTTTGGAGCCATATGAAGCATCTCACCATCTAGTCTGCTTGGAGCGCCCCACATCCTTGGGTTTGGCACACCCTTGCTTCGCTGTACCGGGCTGATTTGACCAGCCCCGGAACTGAACATGGAGGTGCTCTGCAATTTTCCCAGACAGTGTTGGCGGCCCATGCAGTGGGGCGCTAACCACACGGCCCAGGGGTTCACCAGCCCCTCACAGAACAAAGATGAGGCCGTCTGCTCCCGCAAAGACAGGCAGTCTGGGCAGCCCAAAGGAGCAGTCCTACCCTGTTGGAGGGGGTCAGATGACTCGGCATTCCCTGAAAAGCTCCAGGTCTCCATGTGACCCGCGTGTCCACCCTACGGAGTTGCTGAGAGTACCTCCAGAAGGAGAGTGGTTGGGCTGGCGGATGAGGGAGTGGACTCGCAGCACCATCTGTGTCCCTGTGGTCGATGGCACAGTGGTATTTATAGTGGCCCAAAAGGGCAGCGCTCATGAAGCCAACACTCCCAGTCACGTGCTCACCAGCAGCCCACAGGAGACTGTCCATCTAGCTGCACCGCTCCCAGCGGTCAACAGGCAGTACTGCATTTTTAAAAGACCAGGGTGAATGTGATGGAGGGATGCTAGCGTCTTTATCGCGCATCGGGGATTTCCATAAAGTGGTGACATACGACTTCCCAGATAGGAGACCCTCGTTAGGAAGTGGGGGGATGGTCTGAGCCACTGACCTGACCCCTAGGAGTTCACAGTACAGCTGGGGTGGGCTCAGCAACTACCAAATCTAGACACATGCAGGCCCACACCCAGAGTGGTGTGTGTGTGTGTGTGTGTGTGTGTGTGTGTGTGTAGCACACTGACCGCACACTGTCTGTGGTAGCAGCTGTCAGGCACCGCCCAGCAGTGCCTCAGGAGGTGGCACGTCACCACAAGAATTCCAATCAGAGAAACGTGCTAGAGGCACGTGTGGTGAGAGAGCAAGACGGCAGGGGCACACTGGTCAGTGACAGAAGCCAATTCACCCCACAAGAAAGCTAATGGGAAAAAAAACATCTGAATGAACAAATATTAACCGTGTCCACTTCTTCGGGATAACAGGAAACTCATTTCCTAAGACCAGGGCAGGAGGTCACTGATGGTGGGGGGGTGTCCAGAAATCACCCTGAGTGTTTGGAAAGCCTGTCGATCAGTGCTGGGTGGGAGGGGTGTGCTGTGAGGGGGAGAGGACACACACACAGGACGCTCACAGCTGGACTTCCGTTCCCCCACCACACTTCGCTCAGGACAGAGATTTCATGGATGGATCAAAGAGGACACTCAGAGATCACCTGGGGAGACTAGAAAGAGAAAGAGAGGGGAACGCGGCTTGGCTTCTGCTTACCGTTTTCCACAATCGGTAAATGCAAGGTGGAAACAGGAGTCTCTCAAGGCAATCCCCCAAAGCTCCAGCAGATGGCAGGCCCTGCCTATTTTTCTTACTGTTTTGAGGGTGCTGGTTTTTGATTTCTAACAAAATAATACTTTGTTATCATTTGGCTAGGAGAGTGCGGTCCCTGGAGAAGGAGGCCATGCTTGGTAAGGTGGAGGGCCAGGGGAAAGAGGGAGGCCTTCTTCGATGGGCTTGAACCTAAGATCAACTGAGGGCAGCGAGCAGGCACCCAGTAACAATAGCACAGCACAGCAAAATGAACTCCCAGAAGTTCAAGAGGTGGGTCTTTCTCAGGGCACAGACGTTCCATCCTGCCTCTGCCCCTGGGGAACCTGCTCAAAGCTGTACAGCAAGGGGGGAGGGGGCGCGGCTGTGGCAACAACAATACCAGGACGCAGGCAGAACAAGAGACACATTATGAAAATTCCGACAATAGGATTGACCACACCTTCTGCCACTCCATCAGTTCTGATTCACAGGCCCTCTGGGACAGAGCAGAACTGGTCCTTTGGGTTTCTGGGGTTTTAAAGCATTACAGCAGCAGATGACCTCAGCTCTCTCCTGCAGCGTGACTGGGGGGTCCGGACTGCTGATCTTGCCGTTAGCAACTCAACACATAGCCACTATGCCACCCAGGCGCCGTTACAACCATAGTAAAAATAGCATTTATTAAGCGCTTATGAGTTTCAAAGGAATCCTGGTGGCGTTGTCCTGTGAACCTCAAGGTCAGTGGTTCAAACCCACCAGCCATCCCTCGAGAAAAAGATGAAGCTGTCTGCACCTGTAAAGATTCTGTCTCGGAAACCTCACGGAGCAGTTCTGCCCTGTCCTGTCAGGTCGCTACAGGTTAGCGGGTTGTGGGTTTCCGGAAGATCACTGACGTATTCGCCACAACAGCCCTCGGAGGTAGCTGCATGCCTGACTCAGGAAGAGCTCGGATGGGCCAGCCTCGCCCACACGCAGTACAGCTGCTGCCTGTGAGAAGGGGCCAACTGAGCAGGCGCGCCAGCTCTGCGGCGCCTTGATTTGCTCCCCTCTCTCCTCGCTGTCAGCAGGTTGGCACTGGGTGAACAGGAAGGAGGCTCTGCCTGGCCTCCAGCAGGGCTGGCTCAAAGCCTTTGTCCTGGGTAGGCTCCCGCTGTTCTCCGCCAGACCCTCCACCAGGGCCTGGCAGAGAGCAGCCACCCCACTGATCAGAATCTCGGAGTGACCATCAGTGACTGGGGATCACCCATCTATGGGGATGGCCGAGCGACACCTTCTCTGTCCACCGCAGAGCTCCATGTGGGGTGGGTGTCCCGTCTGCTAACTCCAGTTCCATGGAGAGGGCCAGTGTCATTGACGCCGGGGCAGATTCCCAGGGCCGTGGCCCTTGCCCTTGGTTCGCCTGACTTTCCCAGCTGCCCAATGCAGGGCACGGCGAGGGAACGGGGCCAAGCTGACAGCCCAGCCCTGGAAAACCCTAACTGAGCCAGCATGCTTGGGCTGCCTCACCTCCTAGTGAGCCGGGCTCTGACAGGCGACTCTACGTCCACAGCACGGACTGCCTCACCCTCGGCCCTTTAGCGTCAACAACACATGAGAAGGGGAGTTCAGGAAACGGTCACTCAGGCTAGTGCAACCACACGGGGGAAGCGAGTGCTTTGACAGTCTGCACGGGGCATCGCCACGGTTTCCAGGCCCTGACCAGTCAACTCCATTTACTTTTGGAAAATAGTCCAGGTTGCACATCAAGACGAGTGGACAAGGATGGACACCAGAAAGTTGCTTCTAAGAGTCAAACACGGAAGACGCCAGATGAGGTTCTAACAGAACAAGAGGGGAGCCATCCTTATTTCACTCCTTCATAGACAGAGGAAAGGTGTGTGAATGCATTTTAAATGTGTGGGACAACGTTCACAGATACCGTTAAGTGAGGCAGAATCTCAACGCTACTGTCAAAGCACACACCAGCCCTGCCCGCACCGCGCCCGATGCCCTGCTGAGCAACAGTACACTGCCCTCTCGGGCTCTCTCCTGGGCTCTGTATGGACGCAGATCACCAGGTGGTTCTGAACCACCAACCGTCAGGCTAGTAGCTGCGAACAGCTTGTGCCACCCTGGGGCCTCTCATGATGGAACCACATACATTCCTAGGAACGATGAGTGGTTTGACATTGCTTTTGCATTCTAAGCATTCTCTACAACGAAGCCATCCCCTTTACCGTTTCAGTATTTCATTGTTGCATATGTGTGTAAGTGGTAAGAAAAGGAAATAGAGTCAAAGCTCCATCTCTTTCCCACCTGTCTCAGTCCCCCTGGACCTTCCAGAGAGCCTATGCGTGTGGGCAGCCCTGGGCAGCACCCCCGCCCCCGCGCCCCCCATTCCCTTCCTCGCTCCCAGATTCCTCTCCGTGCCCCCCACACCCGTCTGAACAAGGAAGATGGTCTCTGAGTCTCTCTGTGCTGACATTTTTTCTGTTGGTTCTTCATTCATCGAGTGTTTGCCCAGGACGTCCTTGAACCCAGGCACCGGGCACACCTCAGACCTAAAGACCTGTTCTCAGCCCACATGGAACCCGCCATTTGATATGGAAAAAGTCACGGCATGGGTCAACACACCGTGCGTCACCGGGTGAGGTCAGTACTGTGGAAGGCGGACTGGTTCTCTGCATGCTTGGCTCCTCTGAAGGCCGTGCAGTCAGGGGCGGCCTCCAGGAGGAGAAGGCCCTGGGTGGGATCTAGGAGGTGGACAGAGTGGTCCAGGCAGGGCTAATAGCCATTCTGACCAGAGATAAGCTCTAGCCCTGCAGGTTGCTAAAGTGTGAAGTCTCCTAGTTCCTTCCTTTGGAGTGTGGACACCTGCAATTGTTCCCCCAGAGGGAGCTGAGATGCCCTTGCACTCTGCCCCCAAACCTCTCCCCATGCAGGATCAGAGGCTTGCCTCTGCAGGTGCTTGCTCTGTGGGGTCCAGAAACTAAAGGGCACTGCTGGGGGTCCCTACAGGGAGCTGCCTTCTCCCTTCTGTGTCTAGTGCTCCCACGGGCCCTGGCTCCACCCATGGCCAGTCTGCTTCCAAGTCTGCAGCTTATGAGTCCCAGTGACCAGACAGATTCCATTAGTCTCAAATTGTTTTTCCAGATATACAAGAAAGGTCATTTCCTGTTTTTTTTTTTTAATGCTAAATATTTGCAGAAGATGACCAAAGAGAAAGGAGATTATTTTGCATTGACCACAGAGCCCGAAGGGGGAGGGCCCAGGTCTGCTGGGAGTAGCCCCCCAGAGTGGAGCGGGAGCAGGCTACCCAGGGCCCTGTGAGACAGGATGAGGAAGCTGGCATGCCCCATGTTCAGGGGCGAGCAGCGGCTCTGTGCTGAGAGCCAGAAGGAGCGAGAGGGAGGCGAACAGAGAAGTCAGGACTCCATGCAGAACACATGCTTCCAGAAAGAGGGAGGCTGGGGGCAGGGCTGGAGAAGCTGGTTAGAGGCCAGCACCAGGACCCCAGAGGCAGCTGAGAGCGGAGCTCACCACAGAGGCAGGCGCCTGTGTCTGGCTTCTCCATGCTGCCCAGCCTGGGGCGGCTTCTGTTTGAAGGCAGACAGGTGGGAAGCCTGGCACTGGGGAATGCGTGGTGAGGAGGAAAGGGCGTGGTACCGGAGGCAGAGACATGCTCAGTGACTTCCTTGGTGGCCCGGCCATGTGGGCAGTGCCATCCTGTCTCCAACAGCCTCTCTGATCGCTGGCTCCTCCACCTCTCCCAAGTGGCGGTGTCTAGACCCCACACCCTTGGGGACCTCACGCCTACCTCTCTGGCCACCTCTTCATCACCTACATGCAGGCTCCGCCTCCGTTTCAGACCTTACTGAGAGCCCCACACCAAATCTCTCAGCTCTCCTCCTTAAAGAGAATGTTGGTGACTCCCACCAAGCGTCCCTCAGGAGTCTGAACAAAGTAGCTCACAAGACTTTCAAAGCCCCTGCCTCCAAGGCACAAGCCTGCCCTCTCTCCCCCTCCTCCCCAGGGCACACTGAAGGCCCCCCCACCGGGAGCCGGACACCAGGAGTCACCGCTTCCTCCTTCTCGGCGCCCACACAAGCTGCCACCCAGGGCCTGTCTCTTCAGCTTGCACCATCTAGCTCAGGATGGCCCCCTTCTCTCCCCTTGAGTCTACCCCCAGGCTCTGGGGTCTCGCCTGGCCCAGGGCGGAGTCTCCTCTGGGCCCCAACCCAAGGTCTCACGGGGTGTGGCTCCCTGCTGGGATTCACCTCTGATGCTTTCTTATTCCACATGGATAGCCAAAATCCCAGTTCCTGCCAGCTCCTGAAGCCACGTACTGCCCGGGGCCTGCACCCTCCCTCATGCCCACCCTCCTCTTGGCCACACAGACCTCTCTTTCATTTGGCAAACCAGCTCAATGCTCTCTGGCCTCAGGACCTTCACCCAGATGGTTTCTTCTGCCTGGAACATTCTCTGCCCCTTGTTCTTAACAGAGCTAGTGCAGCCGCAGTACCCTCCAGATCCCCCCTCAAATGCCACTCCTCAGAGAGTGGACCAGGGATGTCACAGAATGTTCTCTGGTGTGTTTGTGTGTAATGCTACCCAGTCTGTTCTTCACAGTACTGACCAAAAATGTGTGCTTACTGGTCCGTCATTTCCATTTCTTTCTTCCACTAGCCTGCAGATTTCACTAGGCAAGAACCATATAGGGCCACCCACTGTCCAGGGTCCTGTGCGCCACAAAGACCTGCTGCCTCAGCCAAGGTTCTCTAGAGAGGCAAAACCAGTGATGTGTGTGTGTATGTCTGTGTAGATAGATGATAGATAGATAGATAAGATCGATAAGAGTTATGGAAAAAATGGCTCACACAATTGTAGAAACAAGCCCGTCAAAATCTAGACAGGTTCCAAGTCCGTGGGCCGGGTGCTAGGCCGGAGGCTTCTCCTAACTCCAGTAGCGGCAGGGCTGATGGTCCCAGATCAGCAGGAGGATCAGGGTCTGGTGGCTACAGAAGCAAACGAATCCAAGGTCAGGGAGGTAGGCAGCAGGCCTCCGAGGGGTCCCAGGTGCAGCTGGCAATATGGCAGGTCATTGGCTCATCGCTGCAGCGTGATAAAGTCTCCCCCGTGGGACCACGGAGTGTGGGCAAGGATGGAGCCTGCACTGTCAGGCTACAGAGTGTGGAAATAAATGAGCGGTGTGCCTGGAACTCTGACTCCCCGCGACGGCCCTGTGCATGTCCAAGACTGAGTAGAAAGCCTCATTTGTCTCCTACAGAGCAGCTGATGGTTCCCAACTACCGACCTTGAGGTTGGCAGCCCGACATATCACCACTCGGCCACCAAGGCCTCTTGGTATGCTGGCACCTTGAAGTTCCACTAAGAAATGCTGTTCCTTTTTTCCTGCCCAGCCTCGCGCACTCAGGAGCTTCTGACGCAAGGGCTGGAGAGCGGTCAGGTCATGCCCCAAGAAGGCAGTCCACAGCCCAGCTGACACAGGCCTGGCCCACGTGACCATCACCCGGAGGCACAAGGCCTGCAGGCACTTCCAACTGGAGGTGCAACGCCTCAGATTCTTCGTGACAACCGTCAAACTCGCTGCCCTTAGCAGCTACTCTTCTCCCAGGTTAGGAAAGGACACGTGCCTGTGGGGCTCGGAGCCGCACGCAGGGAAGCTGCGGCTACCAGGCTGGGAGGAAGCCCACACGGAGCCCGTGAAGTGCCACGTGGGCAACTTGGAGACACACGGTGAGAGAGAGAGAG